TTGAAAAAAAAATATATGGTTTACCTTTCAAGAAAAAAGTATGAGTCAGCGGAATACCAAGAAAACGATAGCAGAACAGTATACATCAAAACTTGAGAGCCTCAACAAGTCAACTAGCATTCTGACAGTCGAGATCTATTAACCAGCATACCTTGTTCACGTAATGAATAAGTCTATCCATATTCCGGAACCAGGATTCAGCATACTGATAATTAAAATCATCACCCATGGTCCACATTATGTGGTTTGTACGCGTAACGTTTGCCTGATTAATAGAAACACCAGAAGTCAGATCCAGGTTTTTGTTCAAAATCTACTTCCGAATTGGTCGAGTAAACCAAAAGCTTTTACAACAAATGAAAGTTTACCTGTGCTATGGCTGCAGAAACAAAATCATTAACGCGTTGTTCAACATTAGTGTCAAACAGCAACGGGTCATCCTACAAATGATTGTTAATGAATATTAAATATGTTAGAGTTTCTTCCAAGAACTAGAGGTCACTGAAACTGCTTGCCTAAAGCCATTTACCTGAACAGGTGTCATGTCATTCAAAACTTCAAAACTAAACCCATCGGGAGGGCTATAATGGACAGGAAATGCATTCGTAAAGATCTGCAGTTCAGTCATACATTTAAATGAACAGAATACAGGCCACTATTTTCAACATAATCATACATGCTGATGAATAGAATGCATATAATTATTTGCAACACAAGAATACTATGTAGTAACCTGAGAAGATGAACCAAATGTTCTTGAGCCCTGCCATATAACTTCCAGGCCTTTATCGTCTTTACGCTTTGCCCTATCTTGGTAATCAATTCTTGCAAAGTGCACAGAATCAAAACCAAGCTACAGTTATAACAACAAAAAAGCAAATATAAAATCTCCACATTATAGGAATGTTCCAGGAAGAGATATAAGATCACAGATAAAATTATGAAACAAGATTAAATGTTTTTCAATCAGTCGTCATATCACAACATAAAACTGAGCAGTAAACTTTACCAGCATAAGCAGGAGGACCTGTAACTCCAGACTAGTAAATGAAAATTAACTAGTGCTGGTCTAATGGTAAAGGGAGACCATGATGCTACCAAGTTGACAAACCACTAATGAAGTTTAATCAGACCCACCTACTCAATCTTGCCCCACTTTACCATGACTCCGATCAAAGATCTGTTTAGCTATTAACCAAACCATATAAAAATGAGAGATTAAACAAGGGACTACGTTTGTAACTAAATTATCTCCTGGAAGAAATCTCAACCATGACAATCCACCTGGAAAAAACTGGAGTTTTCAAATCCTGTTGTATTTACCTCTTGTTTTGCAAAAATATGTCGAACTTAGAGGAATCAGATTGCAGTGAACTGAGATGTGAAAAAAAATCAGTCCAACTGTATAATTTATAGGCATGCGGCATGCTTACTATACTGAATTCACATTATCCTTCTGAGAGCAGAGGCAAGATGCTAACACAAAAAGGCTACTAAGTTCTGATGTTCCGAGGAACAGTCATGTTTTGGTACTACAATAATATAGCAAAAGACATTACAAAATACTGAATGCTCAGATCGGACTGTGACTTCAGTCAAATCAAGGCAAGACGAAATCACTAGAATCACTTACATAGACAAACTACACTTCCAATATACATCCATCTATGCATATGAAGCAAAATTATTATACTTGCCTAATAAAATAGAGCATCTTGATTTCAACAAAATCTTAAGGAGAACTGCACACAACTACATTTGCAGAAATGCATGCCCATCTAGATCTTGATGCCAATAGAATGCAGGGCTTCAATAGAGTTGTATCTTCTAGTTGGTCCATGTGTCATTTTATACTAGTAATCTAGTACTTCAATGCTTTCAGAACAATTTGGAAATGTGATGTTAACATTACCTCTGTTCCTAGCAAATAAGCTTGCACAGCAGAATGACCGAAAGGATCGATTTGCCAGCCAGCTCTTGGAGTCTTGTTGAATTGTTTTTTAATCACCCGATGACCAAGTGTGGTCTGATCAATCATGTCAATATAATGGGTGGCAGCTTCATCATGCATACACCACCCACCATTTCTGAATCGTAATATCCAAAGTTTATCGAAATTATATATTATATATATGCTTATTTATTTATAAAAGATCCAAGGAAATAATGAAATCACATTACATACATGAACTCGAGCTGACCAGAATCAACTAGCTTGTGCACTATGGCCTGCATTTTTGGGCTTTTCTCTACCCACCACCTTTGGAAGAAGGCCTAAATGCAAAAGACATAAGTCATATTCAGAGTTATGAAGATTTAATATAACTTATCAAGTAACATAAAGAGAGAAACAATTTTCTGGCCAACAATTTTCTATGTAACTTCCACAAGAGACATTGTACTCCATATATACCATGTCGCTGGATGCCGCGGCTGATTCATACGGCCAATCATTACAAGCCAACTGAAGGATGAACAGTCCTATATATAGAATCGTCGAGCAAGATATGGTCATTATAATATCGTTTCCGGATAAGCTGATCACGTGAACGGTGTGGCCCCACCACCGAATTAACTAGATGGGGTTGCCGGCCGACTTGCACTGAAACAGTGGGTTTGATTCGTGCTCTTTTAAAACGAGACCACCCATCCGTGACACAAGCAAGCAAGCAGCAATGACTGTTCAATCATTACTGTGTTCAACTTCAATCACGACGACGAGGTAAAAGAAGATATTTCCGTGGGCAAGGTAAAGTGGAGACAGAAACAAGGGAAGAAACGTCCAAAGCAAAAGGGAGGAAAATTCGACGGGGAATTTGGGCGAGCACGTGACCTGCTCCGCGACGACGAACTTGCGGCCAGGGTCCCTCGCCAGTGCGTCCACCACGGAGTCCAGCGTGTTCATCACGCACGCGCCCTGCAGCAATGCACGCAGACGGGAGAAATCACGAACCGCGGCCATGGAAGACGGCGAGCGATAGCGGGCGCGCGGGAGGGAGGGAGGCGGCGCACCTGGATGGAGTTGTTGGACCCGACGTAGTACTGGTCGACGGTCTTGAGCCAGCCGACGTCGTCGTGGGAGTGCGGCACCAGGTGCACGTTCAGCAGCCCGGCCACCGTCCCCGCGCTCGTGTTGTACGCCACGTACCCGTGCGCCTCCCTCGCCGCCGCCACGGCGGCGAGCAGAACCAGCAGGACCAGCGGCAGCGCCATGGCTCGAGTCCTCGGTGCCTCCGTGCGAAATGGTCAGCCTCGCTCGCTTCGTTCCCTCGGGAGTGGGGCGGCGGAGTGGCCTAAATACACGGGTGGGGCGTGCGCTGGCTGGCCGGCCGGCTGGCGGGCATTTGTGCCTTTGTGGAATGTCGGTTTATTTTACTATGGAGTCGCCGGCAGTCAAGGAAAGGGCGCTGCCACCGATAGCAGGTCCATGCGTGTGGACGAAACCGAAAGAGTAAACTACCGGTGTCTTCGATTGAAATTTTGGAAGATCAATTCATTGATTTTTTTCCCAATCGGAAATATTTGGTCCATGGGAATGGATTCATCAAAGATTTCGATGTAGTACTCCCTAATTTCCGATTAGGCTTATATCTTACTTAGACACATGGAATTAATTGTTATATCGGAAATCTTTGGTTCATAGGAATGGATTCATCAAAGATTTCAATGTAGTACTCTCTAATTTTTTATTAGGCTTATATCTTATTTAGACGCATGGAATTAATTGTTATATCAGAAATCTTTGGTTCATGGGAATGGATTCATCAAAGATTTCAATGTAGTACTCCCTAATTTTCGATTAGGCTTATATCTTATTTAGACACATGAAATTAATTGTTATATTTATTAGCTTAATGGCCGTGTGATGCCACCATACGATAAACATACTGAAACAGAAGACGAGAATCTGTTAGGGCATGTACAATGGTGCTATCTTAGGAGTGCCACGTAGGATAAATGATGAGGTGGAAGAGAGAGAACTCATAAGAAAAGGCTTGTTTTCTCTTATTTAAGATAAGAGAAGAGATGATCTCTTAGTACAATATGTCTCACCATATTTTTAGGAATTGCTAGTTATTGAAGATAAGGCTAAGAGATGACCCATTGTAGACATTTTTCTTTGTCATCTCTAAATTACATGTAAAACTTAAGATAAAATTATTTTATCAACCATTGTACATGCCCTTATATGACATCCTCATGCGAGTGGCGGATCTTGAATTTGAAACCAGGATGGTCCTTATTTTTTTACAACAAACATGCAATACTAGGGAAAAGCCTAGCAGTAGCACGTGTTGGAGACGTAGTAGTGGCGAGGGGGCGCGCTACTGATACGGCGCTACAGCTAATGTTCAGCAGTAGCGCGGGTTGGAGCGCGCTACTACTATACTGTATAGCAGTATCGTGTTTTCCATCTAGGCGCTACTACTACTCCTTCCTAGCAGTAACGTGTTTCCCCGCCTAGCGCTACTACTATAGCTTCCTAGTAGTAGCACATTCTAGGCTACGAGCGCTATTGGTAAAGTTTGCCATTTTTCCTACTACATATTGCCGATGTATTTGTACTGGTTTATAGTAGTCTCATCATATAATTTTATGATCATGATGAGTTATCAATTCAGTGGGTGGAAAATACATGGATTAGATTCAAGTAGAGTAAACATGGTGCATATCCAAAGTAAAAGTGATCAAGTTTGGATTAGTAGTACTGGATTAGTATGATCAAGTTTGGATTAGTAGTACTTTGCACCTTATGTTGTCTTCATTTGAATCTAATCCATGTCTTTTCCACCCACTGATATATATAGGGGCTGTTTGGTTCTAGGCCTAGCATTGCCACACTTTGCCACACATTTTTGCCAACCTTGCCTAAGCTTAGTTCATTAAAATGAGAGCCACAAATTGGCAAGCTGTCGTGGAATTGTCACGGCAGATGTCCTAGTGAAAGGACTTAGTCGTGGAGCCATCGCAACTAGGAAGCTTAAAGGGGTTAATCGGCACAAAGGACACGAGAGGTTTATACTGGTTCGGCCCCTTGCGGTGAAGGTAAAGCCTAGTCCAGTTGATGTGGTGTTGCTAAGCTTCGATGACCAAGGAGCGAAATACGCTAGCTTGGCTTCCCGATCTGTTGTTTCTTACCCTAAGCCGCCACCGGGTCGTCCCCTTATATACACGGGTTGACGCCTGGCGACCTACAGAGTCCCGGCCGGCTCATATAACGTGTCCAACTCGGTGACTTCCTTTACATGCCTTTCTTTACAAGTCTTTCTTACACATGGCGGTTTACAATCACGGGCCTCAAGCCGCCTCTGGGCTTGGGCCTACTACAAGTCTTATACTAAACCATCGCCTTGTATATTCACTGAGCTTCTTTTAGTAACCCGCCATTAGGATTGACCCAGCCCCTCCTGGGCGGGTCATACCTGGTAGTCATATTCCCAACATTAGGCCCCAAGTTGATTTGAACTTTGTTCTTGTCAACCTCCAGCACTTAGTCGAAATCCATCTTCTGTTGTTTTTAAAAGCTCTGTAACCCACCATGACGTCATCTTCAGAAAATTTGGAAAAACGCCACGACGTCATCTTCAACGGATCCTTATCTTAAATGTTTTCCGAAAATCGAGGCGTCCATTTAGCTGGATAATCATTACCTTGGTCTTCCTTGATTTTCGTGTCTGCCCGTTCACTTATCCCCTTATAAATAGGCTCGGCCAGTCCTTCCTCTTTCTTCTTCTTCCTCCCATCGCCACCACTCTGCCTCTCGAGCTTCGCCGCCGCCGTAGCGCTCACCGTCTTCCTCAACATTCGCCGCTGCATCGCCCTGAGTTCGTCCAGAGAACGGCGGCGATCCTCCGCAGTAGCCGCGCATCCGTAAGCTCTTTCCCTTTTCACCCCTTAAATCTGCATTAGGGTTTGCGAGTTCTCTTTCCTGTGTTCTTCGCTGTTCGTCATAGATTCGTTGCAACTTCTCTACCGCACCCTCTTTCGATCTAAAAGTAGTGCAGAACTTATGCGGTAGCTGTTTCTCATCCATTTTAGACACTAGCAGACCCCCTTCTCTTGTATAAATGCCTCTTTAGAACTGACGAACTCCTCTGTGCTCGTTTTTAGGTCTAACTTTATTTTTCTTTTCTGAACCATTTTGATCCAGAATAATAGCCACAGCTTGGGAAACTTGTTTATCTCAACACTTAGACAATTTTGATTCTGGCAACCTTCGAATACCTTTTAGTCATGGCGGCTTATGACTCCGGCTCATTTTTCCTGTATATATCTTTAGCCCTTTACTTAAGCCGCCATTACTCATCTGTACTATAATCATGAATCTGTAACTCCACCAATAATTGAACCGGCAAATTACTTTCTTTTCAGCTTGCCCTTTTTTCATCATGTCGTTTAAAGCGCCAATAGTCTGCAACTGGGTCCCTTCCATTGTTACTGAAGATAACTTGAAAGAATTTGTCACCATTGGATTTTTGCCAGAGAAAAACATTCTGTCTTATCGTGCTCCTGACCGAACGAAGAACGGCCTCAGCCCAAAGACGATGAAGTTTTCGTCTTTACTGATCACATGAATCGGGGTTTCTCACCACCCGGCTCAAAGTTCTTCAGAGCCATTATGCACTTTTTCAAACTTCACCCACAAGATCTTGGACCCAACTCCATATCCAATATCTACAAATTTCAAGTTCTTTGTGAGGTATATCTTCAAGAAGAACCGATTGTGGAGCTCTTCAGAGAGTACTTTTACTTGAACCGCCAGAATGAGTGTACCAACGACCCTAGCTTGGAACTTGGCGGAATCTCAATTCAACGCCGATAAGCTTACTCCTGCTGAACGCAAGAAGCTTATCCCATCTATCAAAAGGATTCAAGCTTTATTGGGAAATGGCCTAACTGGAGTTGACCTGATCCGTTGCTAGATCGCGTGGCGGGTCATCCCTTTAAGCTGCCGATCCAAATTGATGTATGAATATGGCAGAGGCCCAGATGATTCTCTGCGTCATAGCTCTGTACAATTAACTGAAGAAGACATTGTTGCGATGTCAACCATCCTCGTGAAGGGCAAATACGAGGACTGCAGTAAAGTTGGATTAAACCCCTTCTGCAAACTTAACCCGGCACCAGAAGTAAACCCCCTTGACCTCCTTTTTGTTTTCCTTAGTAATTAAATACTTGCATGGCTTTTTAACCTGTTTGCTTGCTTACAGGCCAAATCTGTTTTCTGGAAAGCCAAGTATGATCATGAAGCTGCCAAGAAGGCTAGAGCCGCTGCCATGGCCGCCAGGAAAACAACCCGGAAGCCAAAGAAGAAGAAGACTGCATCTGACTTATTCCACCTGGATGATGCTTCTGAGTCGGAGGTAGCCCTTGACTCCCTTGGACAATTTTTAACTACCTTATTGACATTGACTATTGCCAGGACGACACGGGGGCCAGCCAGGCCGTGGAAGAAGAGGTAACTATTTCCTCCGACTCAGCCCCTTTGCCAAGACAGAAACTTCGACTGGTAACCCAGAGTAAGGTTTTCACACCCTTTGGCTTATTTAGACCCTCATTTTCTTTTGAAAAAACAACAACATGAGAGCCGCCGTCAGGCCCGGACTAATGACGACGATGAACTGCCTTCCGATTTACAACAAACTCCTCAAAAACGCCAGAATGAGGTTTCTTTTATCTTTGTCTTTTGCTTCCATTAATGGATCTATTTCCTTGCATCACTAACTTTATTTTACCTTCGCAGGAGGTTTCTCGCTCTTCTAGCGACTCGTCGCAAACTCAATTTCCGGCTTTCAAGACTGCCCCTGGGTAAGGAAAATCATCTTTCTTCTGCATCTTTAAAAACTGCATCATTATACTAACTGTCTCATAAAAATCTTTCTTAGCGGTCAAGCAAAGTCCAAGAAAGCCAAGGTGATTAAACCAGCAGAAGACCCAAAAAATCCTGCACCTGAACCGGCAACATCAACTCCTCCCACTCAATCTTAAGCGCCAGAAGACTCGGCTGTCCATGCTCAATTGGACCCTCCTGAGCCGTCAGCTGACGAAACCATTGTCGATCCATCCACCGTCAGGCTGCCCGGTTCAGCTAACCCGCCAGCGTCTCCTGACCATGACGTTCTGATCACTGGCAGCAGATTCATTGAGCCGGGTAATCCAATAGTGCTGGCTAGGAACTCTGCCAAACAAGAGGCCTTGGAAAGGCAGAAAGT